CCAACCTTCCTCCTGCGTTTCTGACGTTCCCCCGCTCCTCTGAGTTGTCTGGCCAGTTATGCAGACCTCGTCGTCAAAGGAAGACTCTGAGTAGTCTGGCCGACTACGCATAGGCGCACATGTGCATGTCGGTGTGTCGTGGTCAAAGGAAGCGGCCGCCCAACACCACAAACCCCTCCCACCCATGACTTCAAAGGCCCGAATGCCATGGGCCAAAGCCAGCAGCAAGGCTGTATGCCCTCTGCCCCTAAACTCCCTCGTCCTTGCACCCAGTCTCTGAAGGTCTATAGGGAACAATGGGCTCTCCGGCAAAGTCCAGGTCTACACTGCGGGTGATGGCACGAAGTCGCTGCGCACCACGGCGGTGCGGTCGCTAATTTGGCCTGGTCCGGGGCTCCCAGCTCAGGTTGTAGGGGCTAAGGGTTCAGTGAGTTGTGGTTTAAGGTCTAAGGACTTTTCGGGATTCGGGGTTTGAAGTTGTGTGTCTTGGGGTTTTAACGTGTTGGGATTTGCGAGTCCAGAGTTTAAGGTTTCGGGTTTGTTCATAAATATGCATGGGCTGAGAAGCTTCATGGGGCAGGTGCAAGGTGTTTGCAAGTGAGAAGACTCATGCGGCAGGTGCAATGTTGTTGAAGTGTTTTGGCACGTCTTCGAAGGGCCCACGTATGCTTCATTCACAAGCTTCGTTCGTGTTGGTTTATGCCCTGCTGTCGGATCTTGTGTACCTGGCAGTCCATGGTGGTCACCATTTCACTTTGGTCGTTCTGCAGACGATGGTACAGCATGGGTTCGACTTTGACTTTGCCAGTCCAAGAGGTCATGCTCCCATAAAACTCCGAGTCAGATTTTTGGTTTCGTTGCTTCGAATGACTTTAGTTGCTGTGCTTTTTGGGTGTGACTGTGCGTCATACTCTCTGTGTGTGTGTGTGTGTGTGTGTGTGAGATTTTGATAAACCCCAACATTCCGATCTGCGAAGCTTCCATGAGAAGAAAAACTCCGTGTTGAAGCTGCCGAGCTTGACTCCGAACCCCAACCTTCAGGCTTGCTCGAAGGTAGTGAAATCCTGATTCGGTCCTGCAGCAATCTCTCGCCTACCGGATGCAGTGAGGTGCGATTACTGTGGTCAAGGGCTCCAAGTACGCCAACCTGTATGCCGCTTGGATCTGCACTCGCTTCAGTTCCGTTTTGCGTTTGTTTTTCTTCAGCTTTCAAGACATCGAGCGCGCCGAAGCATAACTGCAGCAAGAGTTGGGAAAGTGCAGGGGTTCCCACAGTCCATTCTCAACGTTTAAGGAGGGTTTGGGGGCTTCAGCAGACGCGCGCCCTCTCGGCACCCTCTTTGTGGCGATCCGAGGTGGGCTCGGCCATGAAGTGTGGCACCATGGTGGGCCCAGACAAGGCCTTCAGAAAGCCGCAACATCGATTTTCTTGGCGGTGTTGAGAAGCCCTTCTCGGGGCTGTGACCTTCAGGATTCAGTGGCCTACGAAGCTGGGCCAGAGTGGGGAGGGGTCGGCAAGCAGATTCGTCTTTGCAGGGCGTCAGAAGAAGAAGCGGAGTCGAGAGCCCCAGAAATCGAAACTGCCAGGAGACTGGGCTTCCCCTTCGCGGGACGAACCCACTCATGCCACTGGCGCGCGGTGCCCCAGCGGGTCGTAGTCGTAGTCGTGGCAAGCTGTCACGGGCGAGTCACGCGGGTCCTACAAGGAGCGGCCCGTCCGACTTACCGAATGACAGTGGTGGCATGTTGGACATCTCTGCAGTTGTGAAATCTGTGAATCTGTGGTTTCCGGGCCTGTTTCCGTCGAGGGGTTGCGCGAGGAAGCCTAGGCCAGTGCCCCGAATCATTGTTGCGTCATTGCATCAGCTGGAGCAGCATGGTGCTTCCTCCGGGTACTGCAGCCGAAATACCGCTTCTTCGGGACTGTGTGCTCAATGGGACTGGCTAAACTTTCGGCACACAGCTCAAGCTCGGCAACCTTCACACCAGCTAGGGCTATCTTAGCATCTTCGGGCCTGCGAGTGTAGGGTTCCTTACATTACGGGCTCAAAGGGCTTCCAGGGCTTGAAAGGCTTAGGTTTGCGAAGGCGGCTTTGGGGGCTCATGTGCCGTCCTCTTCCAGGCCGGATGACATCATGGATGAGCCGGCAGATTTCGAGGAGCATGATGAGCCCAATCCCATCCAGGAGACTGGCGGGAACTCAGGGTTTGGGGATTTGGGATTTCAGGGGGTGGGGGGGAGGGTGGGGGGGGGGGGGTTGAATTAAGGATGTTCGTCCAGGGAGCAGTGTTGCACCGGGGTTCATGGCTTAGAGTTTTAGGGCTTTGAGCTTTGGACTCATGCCCGAAGCGGCTTTGTGCAGCAGCCCCCCCGTTGGTGGTATGGGCTGGTCACGGATCATGTAGACAGAGAACTGCGTCACATGGATTCCTCAGGACCCTACCTTGCTACGTGAGCAGCAAGTTTGCAGCAGCTTAACAGTCATCTTTTCGGAATGAGTTCGGCAAGGACGTGCAAATCGAAACCTGAATCGTGGGCCCTTCTCTAAGCCTGTTTTTGAGTGCAACAGTCCCGAGCTACCCCAAACCCCCTCAAGCCTGTGACCAGCCAGCCATCAGCCCGTCAGGACGAAGCAGAGAGTGACAAGGTGGGCGGACAAAGGTTGACTTCGGGTTCAGGGTTGAGAGCCTTAGGTGGGTTGCAGAGTACCCTCATTTTTAGGCTGGACGTTAAACACTTCTTCAAGCCCCGAAGTTGTGATCATAAGATGCTTTTGCAGCCCAAGCATCAGTTTCAAGGTGTGTCTGACGTTGACGCCCCTCCCCAAATCCTGATCCTCGGCCCTAGATGGCTCCAAGCCACTCCTGAAGCCCTGACTCCCTCCACTCTTGCCGAGGTCAGGCCATCCACCCCCATAAACCCCAAAACCCTGCACACCCGAAAGCCGATGCTGAAGTTCCCACTGCCTGCCAGGGCGATGTGGATGTGGAGGAAGAAGAGGGATGAGGCAACTTTCTCGGAAGATCAGGGGGCTTTTTGCTCTTTCCATTTGAGCGCTTTTTTTGATTGCTAATGCTATACTTGACAGCATCTCTGTATATTCGAGTACAATCAGCACCTTCGCCATAATTCAAGTCTGCAGATGCCCGATGCCTCGAAGATGCGCTGAGAACTGTAACTTTCACGCTGTGCGACCTGCCCCGAGGGGCCCGTGGCCACGGCAAAGTCGTCACTTCCAGATGGGGGGTTGGGAATGGGTGACGGGAAAGAGGGGGTTGGGGGGTGGAGGAAGGGATGGAGTAGCCGAAGGCGGGGATTAGTCCCAAGCTCTACAGTTAGGCCGCATGCCGCGGTGCCGCGCTGGCCCTTCGCTCCGCCACGGTCCTTAGACATGCGGACGAGTTGCTCCAGTTGTAGGCATCACCCAAATTGTGTCATTGGCCACAGCCGGTTGCCGCGATCTTGTTCTGTTTAGGGTCGACCGGCACAATTGCGAGTCGGTGTGTTTGCTAGAACCTTTTGCAGCACGTCCCCCCCCCCTCCCCTCCCCTCCCCCCTTGCTGACCAGCCGAACTCAAGATAGAGTCCGAGAAGCCTCCTCCCTCACTCCTCCCTTCGCTGCGTTCCTAGATTGGGATTTAGGGTTTGGGCCGAGGGTGCCCGAAGGAAATCCGATCACAAGCGGGTTGCCTGTTCCTGCACGCAGGTCTCAGAAAAGAGGTGGGTTTCACCGGAACGAGAGACCGTTCTGTTGAACACCAGCAATATCCACGAGCCTCAGAAATTCAGCGACGCTGGCATAGCATAGGCAAACATATTTAGATATCTATATATATATATATATATGTGTGTATATCTACACAGAATTTACGTACGTATGTGTATGTATGCAATGAGTAAAGACGAATCAATATTTCTAGAATGTAAATATAAATTGATGCAGAATAGTAGGCTCCATTGAGCATTGAGAGAAAGCAAGCTACCATCTAGGGTTGACAGTTGCGAGTCTGGGGGTTTAGGGTCCCCCACCGGCTCAAGGTGCTGAGGGGTTCGGGAAAAGGGTGTTTCGAGTTTCTTGCTTGTATGAAGGCTTTGCAGCTGTTCGTGGGGTGTTTTAGGGCTTGCGAGGCAGCCACTTGCCAAAAAGTCAGAGGCTCGTACGTCTCACCTACGAATGGAACATCGCATGCGCACATCCAAGAGTTCGGAGGGGCCGTGGAGTTGTTGGCAGTGCCAAAGTGCCAAAGTGCCAAAGGGCTGGTTCGGTCCAAAGCATTCAACTCTGAGCCGCAGACCGAAGCAACTTTTCTGCACTTCGTAGTTCCCCAACCCTGAGCTCAAAGCCCGAAGCTCTGCGGCCCTTTTACCTTGGGTCCAAACACACATTCCTCAACGTCTTCGTTGGTTCGGCGAAGGGCAGTCTTGCGTCCCGGTTAGGCTTCAGGTTCGGGTGCCGCGTATGTGTTGGGATACTTTACGTTACGCATGGCTGTATGGGTCAACGAATGAGGGTCAGATGTGCACCATCAAGCCTGCCCTTACACAACCCATGAGCAGCTGCAGTTCCCCTGAGCCCCTCCGCCCCCTTGGGCTTCAAGTCTCACCCAGGGAACCGGTGCAAAACTTGCACTCGACTGGATTTCGACTACTTGACCTGTGACCCAGAGACCAAAAAAAGGTTTGCTGCATCCATGAAGCTCCAAGAAGGGGGTTCAAAGTCGGCGGGTTGAGGGTCTCAGTTGCAGTTCAGGGGGGGCAGATATCCGGGGAGGGGTCTCTCCAGAGGCTGGCTCCATGGACGAGTTGTATCAAGCCCCTGCTAAAGACGTTGTCTCTAGCTCCTGCGGCTGTTTCGCTGGTACATGCTTGTGGTCTGTTTTGTGCTGTCGTCTACGCCGCTATAGACTGCAGACCACCAAAAATAGATCCTCTCCAGCAGGTCACCCGGACCTCATTTCTAATCCTCAGCAGAGCGGAAACCTTAAGATCCTTGGACGAGGCGCTGGTTGGCGCCCTCCGCCAGCGTCGGTCCGCTCTGCTGGCGTCGGCACCGCTGCAGCGGCTCGGTTCAGGGTTGAGAGGGCTTGGGCTGTATTCGCGTGGCATCTCCAAAGCCTATAACTTATATCGACCCATGACCTGCAAGTAAGTTTAGGGCTAGTGTTCGGGGCTGAGGTTTGGGTGTTGGGCTTTGCCCAAGCAAGCTTCAGGAGTGTAGAGGAAAGCCCTCAGTCTACGCGCTTTCGGTTGAAAGCCCATGCCAAGGCCTTTGACCCTCTCGCCTTTGAAGCAGCCTGGTGGCAACCAGGATGAGGACTCTGGGGTGTTGCGTTGTGAGATGTCGGTGTCTGAAAACCGCATTCTCGCGATGACCATATTGAGCCATTGCAAGGCCTCCCCCTCCCACCTTTCCTGTCGATGTGGACTTGCGCGGCATCCGTTGAACTGAGTCTACCAATGACGGGAGGCAGAAATGGCCACTTTAATTGCAATGGGGTTCGCGTGTCAGGCTTGTGCTGCTTGGGTCAGTGATCTTAGTCTTGGGGTGTAGTCCACATCTATCAGGAAATGCTTGGAAGGCACCGGGTCCTTACACTCCAGGTACCGGCATCTCTTCGTGCTGCAGCCTTCTGCAGGCCCGCTTCGCACTGAACCAGTCGGAGGCAAACGGGCTGTTCTTTGTCTTTCTTCGGGCTCGGGAGTCCCCACCTCTCTCTTCCTCAGCGACATATTGATCTCTTGTGGCCCCCCCAAACTTCAAAGCTCCCGCTTCCCTCGGCGCCCTGCAAACTCCAGAGCCTCATGAGCCCGCCAAACCCTTGATCTGAAGCTCCGGAAGGCTCGCTGCTGCTCCGCGGGCTCGTCTCCTTTGCCTTTGCAGGTGTGTGAGGCCTCCGGGACAGGGTCTTATATGGGACACCAGCCCCAAAGTTCTCTTCCAACCCGTATCTGTCGAGGCAGATGGGTCGAATCAACAACGTGGAGGGCTCTGAGGCTAGAACTCTTTGGGGTTCCATTTCGTTCCCGTTTGACCGCAGGAGCTGGCGAACCGCATCGGCAAGGGGATCGGCTCTCTGGCTCCCTACGGCTTCTGCTCGATGCCGCCAAGCCCTGAGCACCAAGCCCCCAAGCTCGAAGAGAGCGGGGGCATGAATTCAATCCCTCACAGCGGCAGGCGGCGAAAGCCAAGTCAAGTTTGGGGCTTGGGGATTTGTTTCTTGTGTGTCTTGGGTTGGAGGGAAAAGGAGGCTCGCAAGTTAAGAGGGCAATCTCTGCCCCTGAGCCCGAGCTTGGCTTTCTCAAGTCGTTTTGCCACGCTGGCCGGGTCCATCGGACCCGGTAAAGAACGATTTAAAGCATGCTGGTTTCGATGACTTTTCTGTGGCTCCTCCCTACCAGGGATCTAAATGACTTCGTTCAGTTCCTTCCTCGAACAGGGCGCCGACACCATGAGAACGCACAGTCTTAGGCCCTGTGTCGGTGCTTCGGGCGCGGTCGGTGTTTGTAGGCTGTGGGGCTTTGAATATTGCTTTGAGAGTTGTTCTCACTCATCTACCTTCTGTCCTCTGTTTTCAAATTTTGCAGATCACGGTGGGCCACAGACACTGCAGCGGAACGCTGCCATTCCAGGAAGCTCTCTGTTTCCAGGCAATGCTTGCCCCTTCCATAGGTCTGTCGTCAAACCCTACTAGGAGCAAAGGGCCATAGGGATGACCCTGAATGCCCCTAAGCCCCTGAATTGACAGAGCTGCAGTTGCAAAAGGAGTTCGCAAGGGTTGAGCTTACAAGGCTCCGAACTAGGCTATGAGAAATAGAAGAAACATAGTGAATGTAAGGGGTGCTCAGGCCACCTGTGGACAAGCCAGGGCTCCTGGAGCAATCCAAACCTTAGGGGGCTTCAGACGACGGCAACACATGCAGAGGAAAGAAGACCAGAAGGGTTTATGTGGGCATTCTTCTCTTCTGAAGCATGGTGGTGTTGGCGCTTTGAGCTACACAAGCTCTTGCCCCTCATGGCCGTACGCTGCTCAGACAAAGACGCCAGACACTGGAAACTTTGCACGAGGCACTTAGAGCGAACCCTTGAGCTCCCAAAGCCTTCGTCCCAGAACCCTTAGAGAAGCTCAACGAAAAAAATCCCGACCGCATGCCGAGCCGGGTTGTGCCGAACATGGGCCTCAGAACACAAGCGCACCTCAGGAGCGAGGGTTTATGGGAAGTCCATGCGGTTTAGGGGGACGCGGTGGATTTCAGGTTTAGAAGTTTGGGGTCGTGGGGCCTGCGGCCTTCCTGCGATGCTGGACACACGAAGTGGTCGCAACAATGCCAACCATCGGCTCTTCCCCTGTCCCTGTGTGGGGGTCTGAAGTCTGTTTGGCCTTGTAGCATAGTAGCGATTCAGGAAACCTCCATCTGTATCAAGTCTGATGCGACGACCTGCCATGAAGTTTCAGTGGCTTGTGAGAAGCCATTTTGGCCGAGGGAGGCGCTGGCGTCATGATTGACAAGGAGATTAAGGAATCACTCCGTCGTTGGGCCTAGAAGCCTACTGCCATCAGCAGTAGCTGTCCTGGTGTTCAAGGGAGGAGGATGGAGTCATCTTGACGCACATTCTCCGGCGTTCGGTGGTTTTCATGTTTTTTCATCCGGCTTAGTTGGCTATCCGCTTCTTACTTGCTTAGCCTTGATGTCGTGATGACACCCAGAAATTTGCACGTCAGTCGGAGCACTGATGTGACGACCCATCAAAATGACGAACGATGCTGACCGCCACCAGCAGTAGCTGTGAAGCGTCCTGGTGAACCAGGGAGGAGTTGTCAATTTGACGCGCCTCTCCTGCATTCGGTTGTAGTTGCCTCCAGAACGCGCGCTGCTACCCACTGCTACTTGCACAGCGTTGGTGCCATGACGACACCCAGAAATTTGCACGTCAGTCGGAGCACTGATGTGACGACCCATCAAAATGACGAACGATGCTGACTGCCACGAGCAGTAGCTGTGAAGCGTCCTGTTGAACACGGGAGGAGTTGTCATTTTGACGCGCCTCTCTTGTATTGGGTTGTAGTTGCCTTAAGTACGCGCGCTGCTACCCACTGCTACTTGCACAGCCTTGGTGCCGTGATGACACCCAGAAATTTGCACGTCAGTCGGAGCACTGATGTGACGACCCATCAAAATGACGAACGATGCTGACTGCCACCAGCAGTAGCTGTGAAGCGTCCTGTTGAACATGGGAGGAGTTGTCATTTTGACGCGCCTCTCTTGTATTGGGTTGTAGTTGCCTTAAGTACGCGCGCTGCTACCCACTGCTACTTGCACAGCCCTGGTGCCGTGATGACACCCAGAAATTTGCACGTCAGTCGGAGCACTGATGTGACGACCAATCAAAATGACGAACGATGCTGACTGCCACCAGCAGTAGCTGTGAAGCGTCCTGTTGAACATGGGAGGAGTTGTCATTTTGACGCGCCTCTCTTGTATTGGGTTGTAGTTGCCTTAAGTACGCGCGCTGCTACCCACTGCTACTTGCACAGCCCTGGTGCCGTGATGACACCCAGAAATTTGCACGTCAGTCGGAGCACTGATGTGACGACCAATCAAAATGACGAACGATGCTGACTGCCACCAGCAGTAGCTGTGAAGCGTCCTGTTGAACACGGGAGGAGTTGTCAATTTGACGCGCCTCTCTTGTATTGGGTTGTAGTTGCCTTAAGTACGCGCGCTGCTACCCACTGCTACTTGCACAGCCTTGGTGCCGTGATGACACCCAGAAATTTGCACGTCAGTCGGAGCACTGATGTGACGACCCATCAAAATGACGAACGATGCTGACTGCCACCAGCAGTAGCTGTGAAGCGTCCTGTTGAACATGGGAGGAGTTGTCATTTTGACGCGCCTCTCTTGTATTGGGTTGTAGTTGCCTTAAGTACGCGCGCTGCTACCCACTGCTACTTGCACAGCCCTGGTGCCGTGATGACACCCAGAAATTTGCACGTCAGTCGGAGCACTGATGTGACGACCCATCAAAATGACGAACGATGCTGACTGCCACCAGCAGTAGCTGTGAAGCGTCCTGTTGAACACGGGAGGAGTTGTCATTTTGACGCGCCTCTCTTGTATTGGGTTGTAGTTGCCTTAAGTACGCGCGCTGCTACCCACTGCTACTTGCACAGCCCTGGTGCCGTGATGACACCCAGAAATTTGCACGTCAGTCGGAGCACTGATGTGACGACCCATCAAAATGACGAACGATGCTGACTGCCACCAGCAGTAGCTGTGAAGCGTCCTGTTGAACACGGGAGGAGTTGTCATTTTGACGCGCCTCTCTTGTATTGGGTTGTAGTTGCCTTAAGTACGCGCGCTGCTACCCACTGCTACTTGCACAGCCTTGGTGCCGTGATGACACCCAGAAATTTGCACGTCAGTCGGAGCACTGATGTGACGACCCATCAAAATGACGAACGATGCTGACTGCCACCAGCAGTAGCTGTGAAGCGTCCTGTTGAACACGGGAGGAGTTGTCATTTTGACGCGCCTCTCTTGTATTGGGTTGTAGTTGCCTTAAGTACGCGCGCTGCTACCCACTGCTACTTGCACAGCCCTGGTGCCGTGATGACACCCAGAAATTTGCACGTCAGTCGGAGCACTGATGTGACGACCCATCAAAATGACGAACGATGCTGACTGCCACCAGCAGTAGCTGTGAAGCGTCCTGTTGAACACGGGAGGAGTTGTCAATTTGACGCGCCTCTCTTGTATTGGGTTGTAGTTGCCTTAAGTACGCGCGCTGCTACCCACTGCTACTTGCACAGCCTTGGTGCCGTGATGACACCCAGAAATTTGCACGTCAGTCGGAGCACTGATGTGACGACCCATCAAAATGACGAACGATGCTGACTGCCACCAGCAGTAGCTGTGAAGCGTCCTGTTGAACACGGGAGGAGTTGTCATTTTGACGCGCCTCTCTTGTATTGGGTTGTAGTTGCCTTAAGTACGCGCGCTGCTACCCACTGCTACTTGCACAGCCCTGGTGCCGTGATGACACCCAGAAATTTGCACGTCAGTCGCAGCACTGATGTGACGACCCATGACTGCCACCAGCAGTAGCTGTGAAGTGTCCTTGTCACCTTGACTCACTTTTTCCCGGCGTTCGGTTGCATGTGTTCATGCTTTGGGCATCGTGCTCGCCTGACACTGACAAATGGATCCTTCAGCCCTAGACTGTGAACGTTAGAGTTCGTACGGAGACTCATGAGCCCGCAAGGACGAAGATCCCGGTACAATGCGCAGAAGTGAGCAGCCAAAGTTTGAGGAAGCTCAGGTGAATCACATCTTTTTAGAGCCAGTTGTTGCAGGGTTCAGAGTTCTGGTCCCAGTCTAGTTGCTTTAAGGCCTTTTTGCATCTGAAGTGATTCGGGACAAAAGATGGTTCACTCCAAGCCGCAATCGCATTGAGCCGGGAGCCTTCGATGCCCCCCGAAAACCTCTGCCAAGAACAACGAGCTTCCACACCCAGCGCCCAAATCCGAGTGCCCACAGCCCTTGAGCCCCAAACCCTGCGCAGCAGAAACCCACCCGCCTAGACCCTCAGCGGCCTGAACCCCTAAACTCCCTCACGTCTGCCCCCGGCGAGCTCCACTCAAAGAAAGCGGACACGCGGAGTTTCCAGCTTTTCGGCTTAGAGCTTCGAGGGCCTGCAAAAGGATGCTTAGGGAGGTTAGGGTTCAGGACTGATGCAGGACTCTGAAAAGCGGGTGGCACAAGACTGATATTGCTAGCTTATGGTTTTTGAACTCCTAAGTATCCCAAGAATTCCTAAACGCCAAACCGTGGCGCTCCCACCTCATGGCATGCGTTCTCGACAGCGAGGGCTTCGATAGCCAGGAGCCTGGCGGGGTTTTGAGGGATGGGATATCATCTCTACACGCTTCAGGATGGGGCGTTAGGGTGCAGGGTGCCCAAGGACCCAAGGATCTGACCGAGCCAACAACCTCCAAACACTTCATACCTAAAGCTCGGGTCGTCCGGGTATCCGTTTCCATGGCTTCAGGTGGCTGGCTGTGTGACGGCTGGAGCTGGCCCTGCTTCGCGAACAGTTGCTCGAGCACATTTGGTTTCGGGTCTAGTGGCCTAGTGCTTCGGCTGAGGGTTCAACAGGTTTGCATCCTTCCTGCTCCTTGTTCGGACGTGTGTGCCGCAGGGCTATCACTCCCCGCCCGCGCTAGTGGGCCTGATGCCAAATATCTAGTGGCACGAGGGGTATAGGGCAGCCTATACCATCACCGGCAGCAGTGCGTTCTTTTCGAGGTTGGCGATCAAGTGCGCACTTGTCGCCGCGGGGCGTGCCTGCTGTAAGAGTATCTTTCGGGACGCGAAGCGGGGAGCGAATGACACGCACTCAACCACTCACGTCATCCAGATATCCAGATGAGTCGTTCAGCATGAAAATCCCACCAAGGGAACTCCTAACCCCAATCCCTCAGCCCTTCCTCTCAGCCCTTCGGGCCCAGAGGCGATCCAGCTGAGAAGCCCCTTGGCTTCAGTTGCAGTTGCCTTTGGTGGCCCAAGAGTGCATAGTGTTCACACGAGCCGTCAGCAGCCGTAGTTTAGGGTTTGAGGTTTATGGGTTTTTGACGAGAGCACTTTGATTTGAGCTGGGTGGCGTTTCGTTCTCCAGTGCGCAGAACTCCATTGAAGCCCGCAGGAAGTTGCCCGAACACCAGGCCACTAGGGTTTAGATCAAGGCTACGCGGTTCAGGTATAGCTTCAGCTCTGCACGGGGGAGGTGCTTTAGCAAATGGGAGGGTTGCAATAGCAAATCCTTCGAAACAACAAGTTTAAGAGTCTTTGGGCGCCAGCTTGGGCCTTGAGCCTAAGCTTCGTTGAGGGCTTTAGGGATGTTTAGGTTTTTCAGCTGAAGAGAGAGATGTACGTGTCCCATACCACAAGCCCCTAATCCCTCAACCTTCTCGGGTTGAAGGCAGAAAGCCCCGTGAGAATTCGCCACTTGTAGTTCCTGAGAGGATCTATGCACGCTTGAATGTTGTAAAATCAGGTGCAGTCGCTCGGAACTCGAAGTCGGGGAAGCCTCGTTTGCTGTCCGCTCGCGTGAGAGTCTAAACCCCGCACCCTGAACCCTAAGGTGCACGGAGGCCAAGGCGCGAGTCTGCAGCTCGCTTTCTGTTCGGGTTGGCCTTGTACGGGCCCAGTGTAAGAAAATTCTACATTGCCTTGACCAAACTCTGCACACCATTAAGTTGTCCAGCCTTTTTCTCCACCATCCAAAATGAACCATCAGTACTCCCTGTCCGGGAGCGGACGCAGGCCTGTCAACAACAAAAACCCCGAACCCACCATCTTTGTTTGCATTTCTTGAAAGTGATCTGAGGGAATGGCCCAAACTCCCAGAAGGGGTGGCTAGCAACAGGGGATGCTTACTGTAGTCGTTAACGAATCATTATATTCATGGTAAGGGTGGTGTTTTCAAGATTTATACATTTCCATTTTCGCAAGCTGCCGGCGGCATATATATATATATATATGTATATATATATATATATATATAGGTATATATGTAAATGTATATGTATATGTATATGTATATGTAAATGTATCTGTATATGTATATGTAAATGTAAATGTATATGTATATGTATATATTATGTATATATGTATATATTATGTATATATTTTGTATATGATGTCTATATTATGTATATGTAGAATAATTGTTGTGACACTGATAGGAGAGTTTGGACGCCAACCTCATGCACTTGCGATTTAATTTCAACAGCGAGTGCAGTGCAGCATGAATAGCGCACACGTCAAATTATTGAGGGTGATGCCATGTGCCACGCTAAACCGCTCACCAGGAATGGGGGGGGGGGGGGGAACGTTTCCCTGGCTTGTGGCAGCCAATGCGCGAAAAGAATCAAGGAAAGCATATGGGATTAGATCCCGAACAGTGTGACCACCGAAGGAGCCTGTGAGCGTGATTGGAACCGAAGTGCACATTCCCTTAGAACAGTCGCACGAGGGTGAACCAGTCAAGAGGCCGCGAGGCATGCCATGCTTTCGCAGCACGAGCGATTCCAGCGCCGAAACGTGCGCAGGACCTTGGCGAGAGCGCGATTTGCAACAGTAGACACACAAATCTTGTTCTTTGCCCTTCAAAAAGCGAGGCCGAGAAGCCACCCATATGTCACTAGTGTTGGCACACACAGCTACTTGTTATTGAATTCCAGCTGTAGTGGCGCAGCTGGGGAATGCTTGCAGTTGCTGTCTAGTGGGTCTAGTGCCCGGCTGGAGGAACTCGGCACAGAAGCAGAACTCTCCAAGTACTTTGCCCACGGCTACCTGCAGGGTGAGGTCTTCAGCAGCAGCCAGTACCGCCGTGCGCATCTTGACCAGATTGGGACTTGGGAGTATGATGCCCCGGATGGCCCAGTGCAGATCTGGTGCCATGCGTTCGACTTGCGCAGCTGGGGCCAGCGCCCTGACGACGTCATCGTGCTCTACCACTATACTAACCAACTATGCTTCCAAAATGTCGGGGACCTGCATCAGACTGAGTCTCAACTCTTTGCTTCTCTGACAGACAGCCGTGCGCACTTTGGGAAGGGGGTGTACGCCTCGCAGCACGAGCCAGCAGCTGCCTGGCTGATGTTGGACTCACTGCGAAGCGTCACATGCAAGACAAACCCCCCAGCGCCTTAAACCCCCTTGCTTTCATGGCCGCAGCCCGTGGCAGGTTTGGGGCTCACGACTGAGCATCCTCATGAACAACTACAGCAATCAGAATCCACTGGGTCGGGGCCCTCACGTTCTGGGGCAAATGCTTAGGGACGAGGGCTGAAGTCATAAGGCTCGAAGGGGGGGGGGGGGGGGGCAGTTGCGCCCCACGCAGCGAGGCTACGACGACGAAGACCTGGAGCCTCAACGAGTGGTGCGGGAGTGGGGCGATGCAAACCCACAAGGGCACCGCGCTGCCTTCTGCATACCCCTGATTGTGCCCAAGGACATTGCCTACAACATCTTTCAGCGCCACACGAAGCTTGTCTCGGCGAAACAATTTAGGGGGCACAAGCCTTTCTGTTATGTTTCGAGTGGAAGATAAGAAAGAGTTGAGTGTGTGTGTGTGTGTGTGTGTGTGTGTGTGTGTGTTGGCGGCCCCCAGGCCGGACATGGCAATGAAGCAGATCCAGGATCCACGCGGCTTCGATCGCCATGCTGCGTTAGGCGCATGAGACATGGGGCAGATGGCTTAGGACTTTGTTGCGTGGTAGAGGTGAACGCTTGGGTGGCGCAGGCGAAGATTACAAAGGGCGAGCAGTGCACCACAACCGGGACGTTTGGGTCATCCAGATTGCTGATTGCAATGGGAGGCTGCAGCATGCCACCGCCCAAAGTGATGCCTTCTTGGAATTCCTGCAGATGCGCTTGGAGAAATTGAAGCGTCGGCTTGGCAGCAATCACGAGGAAACGCTCGATTGCACCTTTGATCTGGCGCGGCAGCTCATGTTCCGTGGAAGAAACCCAGAAGCCGAAGAGCTCTACCGAGAGTGCTTACGTGGCTGCCGGAAGCCGAGAGGGAAGTCGCGTTGTGTGGGGTTCTTGTGCCGGTTCCAGGAACAAGCCCTATTATGAAGTCACTGTTCCTGTGTCTGCCGCACCTGTGCTTGAGCAAGTGTACAGTATCGTTGCGAGAGAGAAGCTGCAGATGTATGTACAGGTAGAGAACAGTTGATTCGATTGCGAAGCCTCCCTGCTGAGATCATCATCTTCGGCACCCCTACATTCACATCACCATGCTCAATCTCGCAATAGTTCTTCAAGCACAAGGCATGGTCGACGAGGCAGAGACGCTGCTGCGAGAGGGCTTGGACATCGGCAGCGAGGTTGCAACGATTTGAAACGCTTCGCGAGTTCCAAGACTGGCCCGAACCCACTTGTGCCCCCTAGTCCCAGAATGCGAACCCTTGGTTGTGAGAACGTTTAGGGGTACAGTTCATGGCGCAAAAACACCGAGTGTCCCTCTTGAAAGCAAAACACAGTACGCGAGGGCTGGTGCTGCAAGGAAAAATGTGGGGCTCAGGCTGTTTCAACGAGCCTTGACACCCCAGTCGCTAGCCCGACCACCCCGGTTGGCCGCCATGAAGCCTATTCTAAACATCAGGGTTGGTTCAGGTTATCGGGGGGGGGGGGGGGGGGGGGGGGGGGGGAGGGGGGTCGTGTATAGCTGCGTGTGTGCATGGAAGACTCTGCAGTTTCTCATGCATATAGTTCTTGCAGACCACCGGCGTATGGTGCCGAATGCGTACTTTGCTTGTGTGTCGGGAACATGTACATGTGGCGCGTGTACTTGCGGATTCGCATCACATGCGAGTTCTGTGACAAATGCGCACTGTGCATAGGTGTCGAGAACATGCGCGCATGCGGCACGTGCAGCTGGGGGAACTGGCTTCAACGTATGTCTTTGTGATACGACTGTACGCGGGGGGAAAGGGGGGGTGATGTGACTTCGCTCGCAAACGTGACTGAACCTCGCCCCTTGTATGGCCCATTCATGCTTGAAACCGTGCCGAGGCCGTGCTATCTGGGGTGAAGATGGTGTCAACACCTTGATCAACATAGGCGGTCTCGCAACCGTGTTGCTCTCGCGTGGCCAGCTCGAAGAGGCAGAGTCACTGTTTCGTGAGAGACTGGCGAAGAGCGGCGTGCTCAGATTTCACTTAGTTTATATGCAATTTATTGTACAGGTGTAAGTATGTCTCGCTCTTGCAGAGATGACAGGTGCAGTTCTAAGTGCAGCTTCTCTTCCAGCCTTCGTTGTTACACATATAGTTGCATGCAGTTTGAGCTACGGTGTAGACTCGCTCATGATAGGTTTCGGAGTTCAGGAGTTGGTGCCCTCCAGCCATTGTCAGAACATCCTCTAAGCTGTGGGCTTCTAGATGCACCCTACGGCACAAATCTGCCCACCTGAGGTGATCTCTCAAAAACAGGGTGGTCCAGTTTTCCGGCAGGTAAGTGTGACAGACAGTACCCTCCAATGAGAGACGCTTCAGCTACTTTACCATGCTTCTTAGAGGGCAGCCTGTGTCTCTGCACCGATCCAACTTCCAGCAGGCCGATCGCAAGGCTCTTCAAAAGTGGCTTGATTTGTCATCCACGACGGGCCAACTCCGCAAAGCAGGGCTTGCGAGTTTGGTTCATTGCACTTTCTAACGTTGCAAAGTTGCAAACAACGCCAACCGCGTTCATCCACGAACAAGTCCCAGAGGCATACTCACGACCGCTACAAGTTGTCTTGCAGTTGATGGCACTGCTCATCAGGGGCGCGAATCTCCACATCGTGCAAAGTACACGATCTCAATCCCGGAACAGGTTTCACGCTGGTCGGTTAGAAGCGGAGCGCGACATGCAAGTAACAAAACACCCCAGGCAGATTTTGCAGCTCTCCGCCCCAATCGGGTAGGTTCCGCGAGAGTTACTCTCTTGCCTCCGTGGCTTCATTGCATCAGCAAGGCGGCAAGGCGATTCGCAAGACTTTGATGTTATGCCTGCACTGGAGTAACTCATGTCTGTCGCCGAGTAGAAGCGACTGACTTGAAGCTGTGGCCTGGCTTACCGAACATAGAGAAACCGAAAAGCACAAATATCCTCCGTATAACGTACTGTACTATCAAGAATCATAAACCTGGCGCTGTTATGTTTCTGTCCACGTGCTTATCCGCATCCTGCCAAACCACTGTAGACCGAGGTCGTGCAACTCTGGGTGATTCCCACCTGGAAACTGTATGGAGCAGCCTACAACTTGGAACGCTCTGTGCGGACCGGGGGAAATTCAAGGAGGCAGAGCAGCTGCTGAACGAGGGCTTAGACAAACGTCCGATTCTGAGACGTTGTGTCTTCAGTGTCAGTGCTGTTTTCATATTGAGTCATTTTTGGTGTGTGTGTGTGTGTGTGTGTGTGTGTGTGTGTGTGTGCGGGTGTGTGTGTGTGTGTGTGTGTGTGTGTGTGTGTGTGTGTGAAAGCTGCTACCTTGCAGGATAGATAGGAGTGGGGCATGTAATTTTACCGCTACGCGCCCCGCCTCGGGTGCTTGCTGTCGAGCGGACATGCAGTTCATGGGTGAAGGGTGATGGGTGGGAGGGGTTGGGGAGGGGGGGGGGTGCCCTGGTGGCCCTGGTCCTGCTGCACCGTCCGCACACATAGGGAAAGCTTGAGCCCTGAAACCATGGAGGCAACGCGACGAGGAATACATGCAGCATAGCGCCAGCAAGAAGAGGAAGTAGTTGGAAGGGGCGAGGACAACATGGACAGCGGGTGGGGTGGCGAGGGGGGGTCGCGGGGGGGCGCGGGGGGGGGGGGGGGGGGGGGGGGGGGGGGGGGGGTGGGCCCGTCCGCTCCCGCACATGTCGCCTCGGAGGGGTGCCCGTTCCAGACAAAAAATGGTCCCAAATAAAGGGGCGCAATCAAGCGCCGGCATTGCGCCAGTTTGCGCCGGGTAACGCCAGCATAGGTAGTTCCAGCAACTCCTATGTCTTTGGGGGGTCCCCAATCAGGGGGTGGCCAAGCAAGCACCAGGTTTAGTAATTTAGGGTTTAGGGCTCAGGGCACGGCCGAGGGCAGTCCAAAGGAGCCAGATTCATAGCAACTTTCTGAGATGCCCCTCAAATCCTCAGCCACTACGGGGAACTAGTTCAGGCGAGGCTTGCGGGGAGAGGGGGTGGCCAGACTAACACGGGGTCACGGGCGTCCAAACTTGGCATTTTGCTGACCTCCATCCGACCCGACCTACCAGTCACCGCAGACGAAGCGGGAAGACGACTAACAGGGACTGATACGCACTAACAGGGACTAATAGGCACTAAAAGTCTGGGGGTGCACTGTTTGGGGGGGCGCTCTTCGCACATATGAACACTGCGCCGTGTTGTGATTTTGCCGGGGCCAGTGCCTGTACTCTTCAGCCATGACAGCGAAACTATAGAATACAGGTGGAAGGTATTGCAGACGGCAGGTCTTGTACCTGCAAATGGGGGGCCGTCCCTTGTCCACCGATTCCCTACTTGTGACACAATGTACCCTACATTTCCCGTGAGCTGCACCTTGGTAGACATGTCTTGGTTGCTGCAAAGCTTGGCTGCAAGTCTTTCCATCTTTTGCTTGGCCGCTGGCTTTGATTGACTGTCAAAAACATGAATCGCGTTGCCTCGGAAGACCAACTTGCTGCTACTGACGTTTAAGAGAGGACTTCATGTGTTGCATTGCGTACGCTGTTGGGGTCGGTGAATCCCAGGGAGCGCCGGAGCGCGAGGAGCGGCGAGGAGCGGCGAGGAGCGGCGAGGAGCGGCGAGGAGCGGCGGGGAGCGGCGGGGAGCGGCGAGGAGCGGCGAGGAGCGGCGGGGAGCGGCGAGGAGCGGCGGGGAGCGGCGGGGAGCGGCGCGGAGCGGCGCGGAGCGGCAGGGAGCGGCGGGGAGCGGCGGGCAGCGGCGGGGACGTGACGACATCAGCATGCAGCCGTTAAAAAAATCCTTTTCGCTGTGCGGTTTCAGACGTACGCTGGACACTGTCTTCTTCAACTCCAAACACAAAACACTCAGGATGCCAAACTACCCATTACTGTAAAAGAAAGGATGCCTACACATAAATTCAACTGTCTCACCTGCGAATGCTCTCCGACGCCTTATTCTATATTCCATGCCTTAGTCAGCGCACGCAGTCATGGTGGCCGAAGCCTAGACCCGTCTCAACACCACGAATCTTCACGATGCTACAGCTCTAGGCTTGATATCGTGTGATTTGCTCGCGGAGTTGAAGGGTGCGCTCAGGGTTACCGGGGCGTCGGGGAGCGTTGAGAAGCATTGAGGAGCACTGAGACACGCTGACGGGCGCTGAAGCATGGACACGATCGAGCGACTACTGCGGCTGCGTGTTGTGCGCTTCTAGTTGACTTGTCCACTGTGTGGGTGTCTCTATACATACCTGCCCACAGCTCCCCACAGCTCCCCACAGCTCCCCACAGCTCCCCACAGCTCCCCACAACCCCCCCACAGCTCCCCACAGCTCCCGCAGCTCCCCGCAGCTCCCCACAGCTCCCCACAGCTCCCCACAGCTCCCCACAGCTCCTCACGGCTCCCCATGCACAGCTCCCCCCACGCCTCCCCAGAGCGCCCCACAGCGCCCCGCAGCGCCCCCGGAAACTCGACCCCGATTGCCCGCACTCTGCAATGTGTTGGCCCTTGTTTGTCCGACGGCCACGTCTGACAGCATCGGCTCTTGCACGCTCTGATTTTGAAACTTCAGTGGGCCTGAAGGTTGTCGTGATAGGACTTTGCAACCGATGATGTTCAGCAGAGCGCGTGGATCTTGCAATCTGAGTTGAGTGTGCGCGCAGAGGGCGTTGTGGCGTTCGCGTTGCAATTTGGGTGAGTGCGTAGGCCGTAGGTTGCATATTCTCGACGACAAGCTCGTCAATACACTGTTGCATGCAGAAGGTCTTGTGGACTATCTCCTCGACTAGCAATGCGCACGCCGAGTCATTGTGTCCAAGTGCTCTCTCTCTCTCTCTCTCTCGCTCTCTCGCTCTCTCTCTCTCTCTCTCTCTCTCTCTCTGTCTCTCTCTCTCTTTCTTCTCTCTCTGAGTCATTGTGTCCAAGTGCTCTCGCTCTCTCTCTCTCTCTCTCTCTCTCTCTCTGTCTCTCTCTCGCTCTCACTGTATTCTGTGAGCGCACACGTCTGCGCGTGTGTCCTTTGTATAAAGCACCACGCCCATGGCTGTGAGTTGCCAAACGAAGCTACGAGAGGGAGGTATGGCAGAAGTTGAATGGAACGGTATGCTTGTGTATCGGCAAAACAAGAATAGCACGTCCGTTGGCACGTCCTAGCCGCAAAGCAGGCTGTGCGGTTGAATCCGAGGAGGGGTTTCGTATCTATAGTCATCTAGAGACACAGCCCAAAGATTGCAACGTGTGTGGCATGTGCAGTCGTTGCCCCTTTTGGTAAGATGGCTTAGCTAAGTGTGTTTCCTTTGAAATCTGCCATGCACATAAACTTAGAATGGGATCAAAGATTGCCTTTGTGGATTCGCTGATGCCCCAAGACATTAACGTTCACAAGTCTTGGAGCAACGTGCTTGTCGGAGCCAATCTCCGTGTGAGGGTGTGGCTGTGGGTGTGGGCGGGCGTGTGAGTGTTGGGCTATGCATCCAGTCTTGTCCGACTCACTGAGGTCGTGTCCTGCTTGGCGAGCATCATCCAGACACTTTGAGTATCATCTTCGGTATCGCAGATCTGAAAAGAATGCAGGGCCAGTATGCGGAGTCAGAGCCTCTATATCGAGACAGCTTGGCCAAGCGCCATGAGCTTAGACAAGCTTAGGACATGCAAGCGCCACGTGCTTTATTTTCTTGTTTCTCTTGCTTATCTTGCTTCTTTCATCTTGTCTTATCTGGTCGACCACCAAGTCCAAGCCAAAGTGGGTGAGTCACATCCAATGGCCGGAACCAACATGATTAACCTGGCTATCGTTTTACGACAGCTGGGCAAAGAGGAGGAGGCCGAGATGATGTATCGCAAGGCCCTCGTTCATTGCCGGGGCCTTGGAAAGCGTAGAAGGGTGCACTCTCGCAAGTCTGGACATGCAGTGTTGGCAGATTTGGAATTTGTTTCTCCTGTACGGCCGCGTGGCTTTGGTTGCTTTTGTTTTTGTCCCCGGTGCTCGAGACACCATCGCTGCCAGCAATGCTGCAGCTTCTTGTATACAAGCACACCCCCAACACGCACACTACCCGAGTATTGGCTGTTCTGGGACGGACTGGTAGGCTTCAAGAAGGTCACTGTCAAGTTGCCGGGCGCGGACCGTGAAAGCGATATGACCTCGGAAGGATCCCGGAAGCAAGAACCAGAAGCAGACTACATGGGGCCGCGCCCATCAGCATAAACGATGTGAGCTCAGCACCCACGTGAGAAGAGGGAGCCATAAGGAGCCTGTGTCTGGGAACCAAAGGCAACGCTGGGCCACAGCAGGGCAGAGTTTGATATCAAGTCCCGACGCCCATGCCTTGCCGTACCCGTGCCTGCATCCCCAAACAACTTTGCGGGATAAGCGTCCGAGTCTGCCGATGAAATTGTCTTAGGTCGCACGAACATGGGCGAGTGCGGGGTGAACACCCTCACCTGCATGCACAACCTGGCTTCACTTCTGGCAAGCCGGGGCCAAGTTGAGGAAGCGGTGGCATTAGAGGCCGAGTGCCTGGCAAAGCGCCGCGAGCTCAGACACATCCTGAGCTGCCATGGAGGGGTTTTCGGTCTAACATGGGGTTGAGAGTTCTCAGGGTTTGCAGTCAGATTCTAGCAGGGTTCGGCCTTGATGTCGGCATATTGAAATGAGGAACTGAGAGATCGGGGCTGAGATCGGACAGTTCTGGGCGACTCACACCGCCACACCATGTTCAGCATGAACGCCCTGGGAATGCTGCACAAGAGCCAGGGCCAGCTGGAGAAGGCAGAGCTGCTGTTGCGCGAGGCTGCGGAGAAGCGCCGTGACCTTACTTTGCCGCAAATGGGCTGCTCAGAGTTGGACGCCGAACGTGCGCAACGCCGCTCCCCTGCTGAGGCCAGGCCAACTTGGGCGTGGCCCACCCGGAGACGGTCCGCAGCATCGGCAATCTCGGGACAATTTTGGAAAGCCAAGGGAAGCTGACCGAAGCGGAGCAGCTGATTCGCCAGGCGTTGGATACATGCCATGGCCTCGGGGCAGGTTTAGGATTAGGGTCCAGAGGCATTCTTGAGCGGCAGTGAGGCCGGACGGTGCTGGGCGACGTGCACCCGGACACCTTCACCAGCACATCCCATCTTGTGGGTGTATTGCAGAGTCAAGGCAAGCTCCAGGAAGCTCAAGACTTGGAGCGTGAGATGATCGACAGATGCCGCGCAGTTGCAGCAGAGCTGACGGGGGAGGGCAGCTCGTGTGTCTAAGGGTCCCCGGCATAAGCACAACCGATGGAACCCCCGAGGCCTTAGCCGAGGCTAGCTAGTCCTTGCCCTGCTTCACATGACGCAGTATAGTTGTTCTCGAGGTGGAACACATCTTTCTGTTCGTTGTGATGGCAGAATGCACGTGAACTATAAAATCGACCGGCAGGCTTTTCGGGGCCCCAGCTCCCTCATCCAACAATCGCTGGTGAAACTTCTTACTCGCATAAGGACCATAACGTTTGGCAGCTGTTTCAGAGGCCGGAACCAGATGGGCGAGATGGGCCCGACTCAGCTCAGCATTCTGAGCAACATTGCGATGCGGTGGTATACGAACGGAATGTTGGAGGAGGCAGAGCCACTAACACGAGAGGTTCTGGAGAGCCGTCGCGAGCTTACGACGAGTCGAAGTGGAGACATGTATTTGTTGAGCTGTTCTAGACGTACGTAGCTGCCTGTAGCACTGAGGGATACTGAGGGCTTGGAGCATTGGCTTGCGTGTTCATAGCCGGCCTTGCATAGTTCTTTGCAGTGCTTTGCAGCCAGCCTCTTAGCCTTCATGCATCTTCCTGCGCTAGCCGGTAAGGTCGAGCCATCCAAGGCGCTGCGAACCCCAACACGCTGATCAGCCTCAACAATCTCGCAGAGTTACTTCGCGTAAAGGGCGAGTTGCTGGAGTCCGAGCGGCTGTACTTCGAGCTGATGGAGACGTGCCCTGTGCTCAGCTGCGTGTCGTTGTAAGTAACGCTGCTTGTCGGCTTGGGGAAGTTTAGGGAGGTGTTCGAGAACGTCAGAGAGTCCTGGTTCACAAAGGTTGGAGGGTGAATGAGGGGAGCTCACCCATGAGCAAACTTTTCAAACAAAACCCGCCATGACCCGTCCGGCCATGTGCCCCATTTTTCAGGACTGTAACCTGTCTGGTGCCCAAATCTCCACCAAATCCTAATTGGGAAGGTTTTCTTCTCAATTTCCCTGGGCGTGCCTAGGCCAGACAGCTCTGGGCGAGTCGCACTGGCTCACCCACCGGAGCTGGAACAACTTCGCAAGGCCCGAGAGTTCTGGGCTGGGGCAGCTCAAAGGCGGTTGTTACGGTGTTGGAGGGCTCCGTCAAGAACACAACCCTGGAGCCTTCCTAAGTCCTGAGCCCTTAGGAAGTGTAACCTGTGAACCGACGTAAAGTCCTGAAGCCATCTGAAGCCCCGCCCCATGAAGTGCAGCGTCCTGCTTAGTCCAAACCCTGAGGCTCCGCCGGGACCAAGGTCAAGTGCAGGAGTCAGAGGCCTACTTCCGCCGCGCTCTTGCAAAACGCACCGGGCTGAGTGCATCTGAGGGCCGGAGATCTCTGGGGTGCTCAGTTCATGGCTTCTTTGAGGTTCCTAAGCCAAGACGCAAACCTTCAACCCAGCGCAATGCCGGCCCGCACCGAACGGATGTGGGATCTGTCGCAGTACTTGTCCTGCTTATCTGCTTGAGGTAGTAGGCAAAACTTGCTGTAGGAGGTGGGAGCCCATTGTTAGATTCTGGGGGTTACTGGGTTTGGGTCGACAAAGAAGTTGGAAGGAGCTTTTCGTGTTCCCGATGTTCAATGTGAACTTGCAACGGCACAATCTGGTCCTCAACCTAAGTGGATCCCACGGTGGATCTTCCATGGCTGAGGCCAGGCCCTCCTGGGCGAGTCTCACGCCGACACCCTCGTCCTTGGCCTGCAGTGGCAACTTCCGTCCCTGATTGAACTCTTAAGCGCTTTGGTTATTGGCCGAAAGCCCTACAGAGAAACGCGCCCCAAGATGCCCTGCAAACTCTCCGCGTCTCTTTGGGCCTCTCAGGTCACGATGCGCGAGCTCGCCAAGCTCCTCAGTGCCCAGAGTCGACTCTCAGAAGCCGAGGCGATGCTGCGAGAGGCCTTGCGTTGCCAGGTTCCCAGTTGTGGCCTGCGCAGGCACTAGGGAAGGCTTCAGACCGTTTAGGGAAGGATGGGAAGGCTGAGTCCTTGTGATTTTGTGGAATGCAGCCCGTCATGTTTCCTCTGAGGCCAGGTCTCGCTGGGTGAGAGCCATCCTGATGTGCTGAAAGACCGGGAAAGCCTGGCGGCGGTCTTGGAGAAGCAGCGGAACCTGGAGAAATCCCGAGAGCCAGAGCCCGGTAGCTGGTGGCGCCGGCCGTGGAGGCAGCGCGCGCTCGCGGGCGCCTGACGCACCTGACGCGGGCACGCGAGCACCATTGGATCTGAGACGCTGTGAGGGATGTCTGTCGCCACAGCCCCAGGTCTTGCATGGCCTACTCTGCTCATTTTTAAATGGAAACCTCAATTCTCTGATTGCAATGTGAAGAATTCGGCCACCGGGCCGACCGCTGCCCACAAGTTGGTAAAATGTGGCCGAGGCCGGAAGCAGTTTTCCGAGCTTAGATAAGCTCCGAGGTGCATGAGATTCCATGAGGCCTCCGTCATGTGGATCCATCATATCAGCTGGAGAAGGGGACTACACAAATTGAGGGTTTGGGTTGTGACCGAAATGTTGTCTTTTGGAACCTAGGTCCCGGTGTTAGTTTGACAAAACGAGAGACCCTGGGGATGATGGGGGGGGGGGGGTTGTGGCAAAGTCCTGGGATGTTCTGTGCGGCTTTGAGGGTGTTCCGCAAGCCTAAGGAGGGGGCGGCCTTTTTCAGGTTTGTTTTGGGGAGCCCTAGTGCCTTTCTGGCCGTGGTGTGGCTTTTGCAACCTCCTCGCCCCATTTTCATCCAGAAGCAAAAGGCAAGACAGACGACAGTGCCCCTGTAGGGGGGAGAAGAGACTGCGCCGTGCGAATCGAACGAGGAAGAGAGGACATGAGAGGACCTGTTGGGCTTTGGGGCCTCCGGGGCTATCCCGTCGTCTTTTTGGTGGGCGGCTTCGTGTTTGGGGGCTGCGGCCTCCCGCATCCTGTGTGGGCTTTCTGGTGCTGTTTGTGGTGTTTTTCGGGAGTTGGGTGTGTCTCGGGGGGTTAGTTTGCGGCTCCAAAAAACTCACAAGGATATTTGCTTGCGCGGGGCGTTTCAGATGATATCTTGGCAAGCAAGGCTCTCTGAGAATCCGCATACAAGTTTGTTTTCTAGGCTGGTCTTGAGGGTGTAGGCTTTACGGTTCAAGGGTGCAGGATCCCACATTCGAGCCTCAAAGATCCTTTTAAGCGACCCCGTGACTCAGGCTTTGTCGAAGCAAGAACTGCCAGACAAAAAGGGTTGCGCATCTTCAAGCCATGTGTTGATTCATTTGGAGCCGGACATGAATCAGGACGCCTAGAGCGCCCATCAAGCTCACTTAATCATGTAGCTTAAACTTACACCAACTTGCCTTGCTCCCATCCCCTGCCATTCTGCAGGCACAAGGCTATGGCATGAGCGTGCACGAAGCCGAATGTATCTCTAGAATGAAGCCGGGAGACCAGTTGGATTCGACACATTTGATGATCATCCTAGCCTTGAGCTCGAAGCCTTGAACTGAGATCACTTCGTCTATGGGGCGTTTGGCTGTTTTGGCACTTTGGTCCAGCACTGCCGGTGACTTGCATTTGGCGCCGGGCTCAAGCGCAGCCGATTTTCGTATGCTCTACTGCTGCTGACAGCGTTCCTGGATAGAGGACCGCTCTCAAATCCTCAAACCGTTTCCCCGAAAACCTCAAAGGTCGAAACCATAAACAATCTCTAAGCTCCAAATCTCGAACCCCCGAAAGCTTCAGCCTTACTGCCTAAAGCAACGAAGAAGCATACACTCGTCCGCTTAAAAAAAACTCCCAAGTAGCTCCTGCTTCGTCGTTTCCTGCACAAGAACTCACCTGTTTTCGTCCAATATGGCTGGAAGGGGGGGTGGGGGGGGGGGGGGGTGTAGAGGGCTCCAAGGGACAACGCTGCGGGGGGGTGTCGTTTCTTGACGAATTCGCAGCAAACCTCATGGGGCTTCGGACTAAAGGTCGGAAACATCAAGTTTCAGCAGGGTCTTTTCTTGGGGCAACGGCAGAACTCGCTTCCCCAGAAGAGATCCGTTGGGTGGTTTAGGGTTCATGTCTTGCACATTTTGGGTAGGTCCGTAGGCTCTTGGCAAGATTTCCTTAGCTAACAACAGGATCATGTGGTGCCGCCGGGGCCTCAGACGGCAATAACCTTTTGAGAGTGGGGTTTTTGCGCTACGGCGACCAGGCATGCCAACCTGCTGCTAGTTTTGCCCGGAATCCCAAAGTGGTGAGCCCCAAAGGTTGCGGCCATTGGGGGAAGGGCCTGTGAGGCTTTTGAAGCGTTGACCTGTCTTTTTACTTCCACGCTAAGAGGCCTCAAGCGTCACCCCAAAAACTCCCAACATCCTCAAGAAGTCAAACCAGCACCCGCACCATCTACATCAGCTGAGACAAGCCCGAAGCATGAAGAACACCGAGCGCCTGAGCTGAATCAGCCATAGCTGCCGCAGTCCAGCAATGCCCCACCTTAGGCCCTCAATGCCTCAATTCCTGAAGCAGACTGGAACATGACAACCATCGGCAAACATGTCGAAACCTACCCTGACTAATACCGAAGAAACAGCGCCCTCAAAGCAGAGGTGTCCTATCTCTCGTGGCCACCCTCGCTGTGCTTGGACACGCGGATCCAGCGCTTGAGGCCCCCTTGGGGGGAGCGTAGGTGCTGAGAAAGTGTGAAGCTTTGTAAACTGCTTTTACAGTTTCGCATCTCTTCATGCTCCTGCCCCATGCTCAGCAAGCCCCTATAGTGCACCATAGCCTTGAAGTTTGATCCCGTGAGGTCTGCAGAATCCCAAGCTTGATGGCAGGGGCAAAAAAAGCAAAGCCCCCTTCAGCTCCACCAAGTGCCCTCGCATGCTCTGGGGGTCCACAAAAAATAGGGAGCGGGAGTATGCTAGGGGTTGATGCTGAACTCGGAGAGGACGCCCTGCCGACTCTTCTTGATGATTGCGCCGATGGCAGCTGTGCAGGGTGCTCACATGGTGTGATGGTGCTGGGCGTCGGTTGAGGGATGTTGAGGGGCTTTTTGGGTTGCTCTTCTCGGGCTCCTTGAGGTCTTGGTGCTTTAAGGACGGAGGACCTTGGATTTCAGTTTTGTCGGGATGCAAAAAGGTCGGAAGAGTAGCTAGCTGGAGCGCGTTGTAAGGCGTAGCGCCATGTGGACAGACCTCTGAGATGTTGCATATGCCAGCTTCACCCAGCATGAAACAGCAACAGCACAGCCTCAAAGCGAAGCTTCCGATGCTAAGTGCTTGGCCTGGCGGCGCTACAATCCAAGCAAATATCGCTAAGGAGGCTTTGGGCCTGGCACAGCTGCGTGGTGAGCGTCGTGAAGAGGCCGGGTCGATGGCCTTCGCAGGTCGCTGTGCCATGTGGGACATTTCGCCGAACATGTGTTTGCGTGCGGTGCCAATATGGCACAAACAGGAGCTGTTGCCCTGCTTCGAATCTGACACCTCTGTCCCAACCGATGTCCAAACAATAGAAGTCGTGCAAAGAACTTCTCCAACCCTGCAGCCTCTCAAGCACAGACACATCCAATAACCTGGGCAGGAGGATAAGACGCGCCAGCTCGCTGACAGCGAGACGTCGGCTTGGTGCTCAAAAGAAAGGTCCTCGCACACGCCCCGCCCCCCCCCCCCCCCCCAAGAAAAAAAAAACCTCCGAGCTGATGCTCCCGTAAGGCCGAAGTCGAAGAGGACTCTGAAGCTGGGCGCCGGTCTCGGCGCGCACGCTCGTATGGTTTTGAGAAGGGAGAAATGAGGGGCATCACGGGGCTCAGGGTTTTTCTGAGAAAATTCGCGAGTTGAGGGTTTAGTAGGGAGAGTTGGGGGTTCAGCTTTTCACGGCATTTGTGGCCTGAAATGAGTTGAACTCTTTGCTTTGGGCTGTGAAGATGTGTCCGGTCTCCCGCTGGAAGGGGGTTGCTTTCTCCCTATCCGTGGGCTTCTTTGCACTTCTTTGGCGCATTCTTTTGGCTTTCTCGTCCTTGTGAAAAAGTGCTCCCTCTCCACCCCCCCCCCCCCCCCCCATGGTTTCCAGGGCAACAACTTGGGAGGCAAAATCTGTTTTGGCTCCCTGCGTCAGGGTTCCAGATACGAACGCTCTGGAAATTCCGAACGGGGGCAAGTGACGAGATGGCCCGGTCAGGTGACCTTTCCTCCCACCATCCGCCGCCCAGGCCAGTGAAGTGCCTTTGCAAAGACTCAGCGGAGAAGCCCCTTGGTCAAAAGCAACACGAAGAGCTTTTGGCTTTCGGTTTCGGAGTTCAGGGTTTCAGGGAGTTGCGAGGGGGTCTCTATCACGAACCGCCAAGTTGTTGCTCGCTTTTTTTTCATGAGTCGTGGGGTGTCACTTCCGGATGGCGCAAGATGCAGCTTTTGAACCCCAGAGTACTGAAACCCCAAGCCGCATCACCCAGAAGCTGCAGCTGGTTTTGGGTTCTCGCAAAATAAAAGGATTCCTGTCATCCGCCGTGTGTTTGCGGCAGGGGGTCGAAGAAGGTTGAGGGTGCTGTGGAAGAAGGCAGCTTCTGTAGGCAGCTCATTGGTGCAGCTCAGCGCCGCGAGTGAGAGGTACTTCTGCGCCAAAGGCTTCGAAGGTCTTTCCAAGTGCTTTGCTCCTCGGCTGCAGACTGGATGGGGTCTTGGCCCCTGGCGCTTGGGGTAGGACTCGTCCTCGATGTTCCCGCCGGCGACAAAAGGGAGCAGTTTCGGGCTGGGGCTTGGGTCCGCGAAACCTGAAGCCGCAGCTTATAGACCACGATTGGAGCACCACTGGTTGGCTCCGCTTCCCTTGGAGAGACAGGTCGAGGATTTTTTTTATACACGCAGCATATTCCCCAAACCTTGAGAATCCTAGCCTTCTTAAACCTGAATTTCTAAAGGCCCCGGAACCAAAGCCAAGCCCAGCGCCTGAAGTTCTGGCCAAGGCTCCATGCCCAGATCTCTGCACGGCAGCAGGTGGCGATCGGCGGATGTCTTTTTGGGGTTCAAGGTTTCGGGATGCTTCGGGGCAGGGGGAGCCCCAAGCGGAGGGTTATGATCGCGACTACCAAGGCCGTACTACCGGCCGCTGTAAACTTTTATAGGCACTCCGCTTCAATGATGATGCAACGATGACGACTCTACATCTCGAACCCTTTTAGGCGCCCCACTGCTAAGGGAAAGTAAGCACGTGCGGACGATTCGAGTTTAGTGGATTGGGGGTTGTCAGACACCGAACGGACCCTCATCCCTCAACGGTCGCCAAAAGCGTTAGTTTAAGGTTGGCCCTTAAATTACCTTGATCACAAGGCGGCCACTTCTTCATGTGCGGTGGTGCACATGAGACCGAGTGGCTCGACCGCTTCTTCAAGAACGAGGCCTTGTGGTTCGAAGGTTTTTGATGTCATTTTGGCGAGTAAGAAATCCAGCAGACTCCTACCGTACCCAATGAAGCCACGGAGATTGAAAGGACACACTGATTGGTCACCAGTGTGTAAGCGTGTACCTGCACACAAAATGGTCATGATGAATGCAACAGCAGCTGGCACCTCTACATTGGTGATCCTCGCTGTCGTCCCAACCGATGGGCTTCGATCTCTTCGGCCCTGCCGAGTGGAACATGTAGGAGAGGGGGAGGGGGCGAGAGAGAGAGAGAGAGAGCGCGAAAAAGCCAGAGAAAAGAGAGTCTCTTCCTTTGGGGGGGGGCCTAGAGTGCGAAGAAGAAGAAGAAGAAAAATTAGAAGAGAAAGAGAGCAGAAGAAGAATAGCAACGAGCGAGAGAAAGAGAGAGAGAGAGAGAGAGAGAGACATTCTGCCGTGCTGTGCCGTGCTCGGAGCTGTGTCGTGCTGTGCTGCATGCGCAGTTATCACTGTGATGGCATCCGGACATGGACAGTCAGTCATGCACAGACATGTGCCACTGCGCTTTCAAAACCAGCGGCGAGAACGTGTGTTTGCTTTTTGTTTGTTTGTTTGTTCTTGGTGTCTGTTGGGCAGGGTTCGGTGAGTGTAGGTCAGGCTTATGCGGCATATGCGTTGGAACGAAGGTGGAGGTTTCAGGCTCAGGATTTCGAGGCTGGGGCCGGCCCAAGCCGATGGGTTTTCATGGCCGGGCCTGAAGATGTTCCCCTTACCAACCAAATCGTACCATTGCTGCGCGCTACGGCGAAGCGTCAAGGCGCCAAGCTCCAAAGCCCAGCCCATTGCAAGCGCCAGGAAAAGAATCACGCCAAGTGCCCGAAGGAGAAGAAGAAATGATGACCTGAGGACGACGTGCTTGCGATTGTTTGTGGCTTTAGGCTTGCGGAGTGTGTCAACGGCTTTCCTGATGAGGGAATAAGATTGGGATTGATGGTTGGGCGGGAGCCGGATGCTACATTCCCAACCCCACGCCACGAAACACGACAGATTCAGCTCCAGAGCCCAGCAACTTCCAGGGCATCAAGCTTTATCTGAGGTTCGCAGCAGCCCTTGCTGATTCTGCAAGCATCTGCAAGCTGGGTTCCGGGTTTGGGGGTAAAGCTTAAGATTTGGGGCTCAATGGTGTACGAACCGTAGTGGGAATTTCAGAATTTCAGATGTCTGCGGACTTAGTTCAGAAGCGGTATTTGATTCCGATACCTTAGACTGCGAGGGACACGCTTGTACGAGGACGGCTGCAGCCTCTTGCGTGCTGAGACGCCTTGACGGCTGAGCCCGCATTCCGGTCAAGCTGCTTGCAATAGCCAAGAAGCTTCCAAACCTCGGGGGTTGGCACCGGGCAGCTTTGGCATTTGGAACGACCGATTCGATCTACCTGAATCTACCTGAAGCGCGCCAAGGGCCACAGATGCGGACCTCCAGGCATTTGGGGTTTGGGCCGTCATGCATCCGCCTTCCGGCTTTTACCGTCATGATGACACCCGTCATGGACAATCGGCAGAGGCAGCTTTGGAAAATGGGTGCCCAGGGCCAACCCAGGGCTGGCCATGTTTGAGGTCTCTGAGCTTCTTGGCTTCACCTGCTCCCCAAAAGAATGATGCAGCCATAAGTCCTCAGCTCCGTCAAGCAGCTGGTTCAACTTTTGAGCATGGCACGTAACTTACATGTTTGTAGCCACCCAAACCTAAAACCCGAGCCTGAGCCCACCCTCAACTCCCCTCGGCCTCGGCCCAAACCGCAAAGCCCTGAAAAGCGTGAAGCCACAGAGCCTGCAAACTTGGCTCGAGGCAGAGAGCCCCACGCCCCCCCCCCCCCCCCCCCCCCACTCGACGCGCACAAAGCGCGACGCCAAAGCCATGATGAGGCCCATCGTCTGCAGGAGGTTTTCTTAGTGGGGGATTTCGAAGCTGGTCTCTTGAGGCCTAGTTTTTTGGAGGACAGGGGTCGGGGGAGATTCGGGACCCCGTTGAGGGGTGTCGCCATACAAGGTCCGTAGAGGCGTAGAGGCGTGCAGATGTGACCTTCTAAACGTCTTGATTCAACTTCCTAATCCCAAACCCCTTGGTGGGTTGCCAACTCCCGAGCCCGATGCCAGTATTGGAAATGCCACGAGGCCCCATGCCCCAGGCACTAGGCTTCGGGTTGTTTTGGGTTTGAGGGCTTTCTTCGGTTTGGGATTTCATGCCCCGGGCTCCGCGCAAGTTTGGGAGCCTTTCGGAAAAACTACTTCGTCAGGCTGGCTCAACCCCTGCTTGAACCCCCCAGCCCCTACAATTCTACACTATCGGCCCTCCAAATGCCAAACTTCAACGCCCAATCCTCATGGAAACCCCTGGCCCTTGCAAAGGCCTAAAACCCTCAACCCCGAAGCCCTAAGCAAAGAGGCTGGTCGGGCTGCTCAATGCCATCTTAGCCGGTGCTCAGTTTCCGGGGCCCGATCTTCCCTTCCCACCGATGCCCTCGGAGGAGGGGCTCTTTGGCGCTTGAGAAGGTTTAGGGCTTCAGGGTTTCGGGGGGGCAAGCGGGTGAACTGTCGACCTTGTCAATGCGTAAGATCATCTTCTGTGACCAGAAAGCTGGACCAAGCTGGACTGACTTCTTCCGTTTTGGTGCTTCATGCCCGTACCTGATATTGCGTACACTCTGCCCCAATTAGGAAAGTGGATGATAAGCCCAACCACGAAAAATGGGTGCCGGATTTTGGAACTGTTCAAGCCTTGCCGGTCTGAGAGCTTGCCTCCACAAGCTGTCAGCCTGCAGCCCTGAACCCTAATCCTGAACGCCTTGAACCCGTAAAACCCCAATCCTAACGCTCCAGCACAGAGTCGTAATTCCACAGCTCCACAGCTCCAACAAGAAAGCTTCGAGGAGCAGTGGGCCGTGGAGGGGGGGGGGGAGAGAAGTCCCTTTGCAGGCCATCGTGGGGCCAACTCTTGCCGACTCCAAGCCCTTCAGCTGCTCTTTCCGTGGGATTTCTGGGAACCATCCGGCTGAGCAAGTTTTTCGAAGAGGGGGGGGGGGGGGGCTTTCAAGGGGTTTAGGGGGGTTGAGTTTATCGGCCATCGGAGTAGGGCCTTCAATGGTTCGAGCGCAGCGGTTTGAGAGGGCGTCGGCTCGAAGGTTGCTTGTTCGACGCCCCCAAGGAACAGCTGGCCCGCCAAGCGCAAGCCGTTGAAGAAGGATGTGCCCAACATCGTGGTGATCATGCGCCTGAGCTGGAGTGTGCCCACACCCTGGGCTTGAGGGAACTCAAACGCGTCAGAGGCAATTCCAAACAAACAACTTTCCTAAGCAAGCTCCCAATTTCTGCTAGGGCCCAATCCCTGAACCTAAGTTCACCGAGGCAACCCAAAACTTAAGCAAACGATCCGATGTTTAGGACAAGCGTCTCCATTCACCATCAGAGTTGGCCTTTGGGGTCCGGAGGGGAAGGTTTCGGGCTGAGAGCACCCTTCGAAGCCTTCGGCAGCCCTTTGCCTCTCTACTGCTTGGGAGAGGGAAGACCGGTACCCCTGCGACCCCCTATTTTTTTAAGCATCTCAGGAACGATGATGTGGGCTTCGGAGCTCCCGACACATTCGGCGGACCGATCCACACCCCGACGCTGTGCCAGGGCCGACCCTTAAGAGCGGAGGACAGGGTGCTCTATTGGGCTTCGGAGTGTGTGATCATGTCGGGGCTCTGGGTCTTCACGGCTCCGCTTGAGCTTGTGACAAGAGTTGGAGGTTCACAAGGGTGCTCATAACCCCAATTGTAACTGTATTTACAGGTCCCCTAAGTCCAGCAAGTGGGTTACACGTAGACTTGTAGTTGGGGTTATAAGTACCCTTGAAGCTCCAGGTAGTGTAGTTTCCTTACTGTGGCAATTCGGGCTTTGTCGGAACTTCATCTCTTGTTTTCCCAACACAAGCCATGGACATCAAAGCAAAGTACTCATTTTCTGGCTCCAAAGCAGGGTAGTTTGGGACGCCTCAGATGCGGCAGCCTACTTCGTTGCCTAAGCCCCTAAGCCACTAAAGGGTTCAGGGCTTAGGAGTTTTAGGCCTACATGTCGGGCAACAATGCCTGCTTTAAAGTTTTTGGGGAGGGCACGACCTGGCGCCCGTTGCAGGCGCACGCAATTCTCACGGCCCCATTTGTACCCTACAAGATCCGAACCCAAGCACGAGATGCACCCTCCAAGATCCCAGCATTTTGCGTTACACTCTTCATCTGAGGTCTAAACTGGCCTCTCGGGGTGTGGCCTACAACCGCTTCCACACCACGGCCATCTGCTCACCCACGCGCGCCTCCGTGCTTACGGGCCGGCCACTTGCTGGAATTTTTCCCCTTCCAACTCCTCTAGTGCAGGTTGCATCTTCGTTGCAGCAGCAGGCAGCAGTTCCCTCTAAAACAATTCAAACACTGAGTATGCGTACGTGCCGACACCCGTGACATCTCGAAGTTCATAAGACTCATGACCATCATTCACAAAGTCCAGCGAACAAGCCACACTTCTAGTCCTTCCCAGTCCTGCTGACTGAAAGGAACTCCCACAACATCGGCGCGGGGCAGATCACCGAGGCAGCAGCAGGCCCGGAACTCCCCAACCACAGGTGCATCTTTCAAGTAAGCCTCATAAAAGCCTCGCTTGAGTGTTCAGAAGGGTTTGCTGGCTCCTCGGCCTTTGATTCGGGTGTGTGTTGCTCCTAGCTTCGCGAAGTGCGAAGTGGGCTCCGGATGCACGTACAGTGTAGGGTTTCTTGCGGCCGAATGAGGTTCGGTTTAAGCCAAAAGAAAGGGTTCGGGAAGCCGGTTAAGTCAAAAATGGGCTTCGCAGGCTTCCCCGGCTACACGGGCACCATCCCGAAGTCGGCGGCGACCGTGGCAAAGGTCTGGGCCGCAGCAGCGGTCTTTCAGGGGCTTCCAGGGCTCCTAGGGCTTCCAGGGCTCATAGGGCTTTCAGGGCTCATAGGGCTCATAGGGCTCATAGGGCTCATAGGGCTTACAGGGTTTATGGTTTTTTGGTGAGGGGTTTTCGTTTTTTTTTTGGGGGGGGTTTCAAGGCTGAGTTTTTTAGGGCTTTAGGGTTCCGAGCGTTTAGGCCTCTAGGCTTTTGGGGTTCGCTGTTTGGGACCTCAAACAAGATGCTTCGGGCTTTTCAAGTTTCATTGTTCACGGGTCGGGGTTGAGGACTTCTGGAGTCCTGTTTACTGTACACTTCGCTAAAGGATGGGTCCCCCTCGTCGCAGTTTAAGGCTGTGGGCTTATCGCCGACATCTTATTGTCCATGCAGGCAAAGGCAAAATAAGCGGCCCTTGCTGAGCCGCGGTGATTGTGCAGGTTGCATAAGGTCCCTTAGCTTGCAAGAAATGCCTCGGAACGCCTCGAGCTTTCTAGAAAAAAAGGCTTTGGCGAAAGAATAGATAGACCGCACCAAAGCTGCTAGGTCTTGTCCGGCTATGGCTATGACGCTGGGCCGCATGCGAGTCCGCAACTCGAACCACCACTTGAAACCCATGGACGGTTACACCCACTCCCCCCCTTTCGTCTTCGTCGTCCTATGAGTGGTGAATGTGTTTTTTGGCGAGGGGGAGGGTGAGGGAACGGTTTGATTGAAGCCGCATAGGCAGCTGTGGATCAGATCTCTCAAAGTGCAGGGTTTCTTGAAAAGCGCTGCGCTCATGAACACCACAATGCCGTGAGGACTCGCTGCACGCGAACATGCACGCCGAAAATGCATGCGAACAAACGTGAGAGAACGCAAGGTAGCTGGAGTGCTCATTTAGTCCGGTAGTATATCAGGCGCTTGCTTCGTCGCCAGACGTATGCAAGCACATCTCCCAAGATCTAGGCCCTAAACCTCAACCACACGCCCTGGGGACTTGCCGGAGTCCCACACGCGCAAGAGTGGAGAGGGCGGAGGAAATCTGGGCACGAGGGTCGAAGTTGGAGAGCATGGCGTGACAAGGGACAAGATCCCAAAAGAGGAAAGCAGCCTTCTCACAAACAATCAGGAGCTTGGGGCTGTTGGTCCCAAGAGCAGCAAGAAGGAAAGCGCTGAGGGAGGAACACAGCAAGAATGACGGTAGGGTCTTCGACCGTGAGCTCGTTGTAGTGTAGGGCTCGTCAGGTATGAGACAATGCGTTACCTAGGGAATTCTAAAAGGCGGTCTGCTAGTTTGTTGCAATGCTCTGGTAAGTCATGAATACACTGTGACGCGACTGCTAATCGTGCCAAGGGCAATCATAACTGTAAAGAGGGTTCAACCTGCACAGCAGCGCAAGCAAGAGCTGACCTTTTGCACATCACAGTTGCCATCGGAAATGGTGTGGGACATGACATGTTTGCAGGCACGACATCCTGTGATCACACCTCATCTTCAGCACTGTCGCAAGCAACTTTTTGGCCCAAAGCTGACCATCAGCAACTCAGGATACTGCAGCCTTCGGAAAGTGGCACAACACCCCAGCTTCCTGCCTCACTGACCTTTATATATGGCGTTGTGTAAAAGTGGGCTTGTGCGGTTAAGGGCTTATGCACCGGGATTTTGGACATCGTGTTTGTTGCTGGGCTCGAAAGGTCTTTCTTCACCAAGGGGCTGCGACATGCTGCGACAGAGGGTTTTCCCCGGTCCGGAGGTTGTAGCCAGGGGGCGCTTCCCTTCAAGCAACGAAGCCGTGAGGAACTGTGTGGAGGTACTTGTCGGTAAAAGGCCCCTGACAGATTCCACCGTAGAGAGGAATTCTCGATCGTGTTCTCGTGCTCTCGAGTACGTTGGATGCAACCAAACGAGCTTTGGTCCGGGGGTTAGGCGGTTTGATGGGGTCTTGTGCGCTCGGGGCGCTTGACTTCGCGCAGCCTCGAGGTCGACAACTTATTCAAGACAGGGCCGTTCGACCAGTACCCTACAGGCGAGCCGCCCCAAAGAGCGTGCTCACCATTTTTTTTCTGCCGTTCCTTGGGGACTTTGGTGATCCGTTGGCGGGTTGGAATGCATGCCTTCCATTCTCGGTGCGATGAAATTCCCGCTGCTACTCAGAGCGAAAGACAGTTCCCCTCCCCGAACAAAAGAAGAAGACGAAGAAGCCGTAGGCTTTTGCCCTAGAAACCTGCCGCCCTAAAGTCCAAGCAGTTGGCCCTGACACTGAAAACCCTTCTGGACCCCTGCTTCAGGGCGTTTAATCCCAAAGCAGGCCTGGGCTTCAGCTACTTCTACGGCTTCATTGCCGGCGAGACGTCGCAGTACGAGCCGCGCCTCTTCGAGAACACCAACCCGCCACTTGGGGTGTACTTGGAGGTTCATGGGCAGTAAGATACAACCAGTTGTACTCATAGTTGCTTTAACCCTATTGCTAGTACTCAGAACCGGGGTTGTACCTACCCATGTTTTGTGTTCAGGGCTTGGGCTGGTTCAGGATTACAGGTAGTCTTAGACTTTTAGACTTGAGGTTCATGGCTGGTTTAGACTTTTTATGGTTCTATAAGGAAAGTATGGTGTGGACACCCTTTTTCGCAGAGCTGCCGGGGCTTACCCAAGGATCGAGCCTCCGTACACCCCAGAGGAGGGCTACCACTTGACGGAGGCCTTCGTGCACGGTGCCGAAGGTTGTGCTCTTTACGGTGCAGGGTCTTAGTTGTCTTGGGGGATTCGAGGAGCGGGAGTCTTTCCTTGCATTTATAGGGTTTGCAGGGCTTGGGGTTCGAGAGTGCTTGCTTGACGAAGGTTTCGAGACCTCGAAGCTCTGTGAGCACAGCCACTGTGGACACCTTATCAGTCACACCCTCGGGTCATCGCAGCTTCCCTGACCGAAACCCCAAAGCCTGCAAACAGAAGCGACCGCAAGAAGCCGTTTCCAACCCTAAAAGCAATTCCCCCCAAACGTGCCATGGTTCCTCAGGACCTTGCGGACCAAGCTGTGAAATTCATCCGCAACAACCGCGCGCTGACGCCGGACCGGTCGCTGGGCCTTTTTGCTCGTTGCCTTAGGTTTGGGGCTATTTGGTGGTTTTGGGGCGCTGGGCCGTTTCAGGGTTTAGAGATGTCTAGATGTTACCCGGAATGAAGATGGAACTGGAGCCTTTTGAGGAAAGAGCAGCTTCCCAGAGTCCCCTGCCCCCGCGGTCGCTGTCGCACGATGTTTGAAGGAGTGTCAAGCCCTGGGCCCCCGAACTGTCGTAGACTCGTAGAGCCTGAGCCCCTAAGCATCTCAACCCGCTAACACCGGAAGGCTTCGGATCTCAACTCTCGTGTTCACAGCCTCGTTCAGAGCTGGTTCTAAGGCTAGAGCATGCCAGGGCGGCTAGGGCGTCAAAATCATCTCAGGCCTTTCTTCATCTATTTCGCACCTGGCGGCACACATGGCCCCCACCACGTGCACAGCGACGCGGACAGCACCCTAGACGGTTCTTGACACGGCTAGTTCTCTACTTGGGTCCTGTTGGGCCCCCGACTACAATCTCGCCCCGACTTGCCGGCTTGCCCACATACAGTCACATACATCCTGCAAGGCTCAACTCCCCCCAGAGAAGCCGCAGGGCAGGTGGCCTCTGCCTCGTGGAGCCCTCCCAGGGTTGCAGCTGGAAAACTCTCGCTTCCCCCGAAAACCCCTTAGATATTCTTGTGACAGGAACTTCGTCAAGAAGTTGCCCCTATGTTAAAAAACCACCACTGTCGACGGAGCTTGAGCTTCTGCTGCGCAGGTTCGAAAACGGCATCCCACTTCGTCCCCCTTGAACCTTACAGGTCGTGAGCTTCCAGGTCTGAAGCCCTAAGCATCATGAAGCCCCAGAGTCCAAGTCTGGGCTGATCCCAGGTGAGTGGGCCGACAAGTACAAGGGCAAGTTCGACATGGGCTGGGAGAAGCTCCGAAACATCACCTTCCAAAAGCAGACGCCCAGCTTTACGGTTACCTTTGTGGCCCTTGGGTTTCCTTCAGAGCCAGCCTCAGGCCCCACACCCCTCAAGTTTGGGGCAGTTTAGAGCAGTTCAGTGCAGTTTCTAGTGCCGTTTCGTGCAGCTGTATTTGCTGCAGTTCCATGCCCTCCCCTCTCGAGGAAGGCCATGGGCTGGATCCCGGACACTGCGGCACCCCGGCTCCCGTTTCTGTGGCTTCCGTTCCCGAGTGCGTAGCCTTTTCTTAAGGCTGCGCTGGATGTCAGGGTCAATGCTGTCTTCCCTATGATTTTCGAAGAGGGCTCTGACTCGTCTTTGTTTCGATAGGAGCTGACCGAGATGGACCCAACCATGGAGAAGCAGCTTCGATGCAAGAAGTGCGTGAAGCTAATCCTGCCCGAAGCAAGGCGGGTCAGGACAAGACCTTCCGCACTTGTTTTTGGGGGAGAGAGCGGAAGAGGGGGGTGCGGGCGGGGCGGTCCTCCAGGGTTGTTATAATGCTTCGTGGTTCGTGGGGCTTCGGCTTCGCAGGCATCCTTCAAAGACCTGCCCTTGGCTTTGACCCTGAAAGCGTCCAATGTTTTCGAGACAACGTGATCCCCTGAAGCGGGGCCTTCATCGGGGCTGGGGCCGGCTAGGGTTGCCAGAGGGACATGTTGGGGGGCCCGCGGGGGGGCGGTTGCAGGGCCGCAGCTCTGAGGTGGGAGCACATCCCGGAGGCGGATCGCGCCTTTCAGCTGCGCCTGGTGGAGGCGCTTGAACTGGGGGAAGACAGGGATTGGAGGTTTGTGTGTGTTTGTCTCTGAGTGTTTGCCTCTGTGTGTTTGTCTCTGTGTGTTGTCTCTGTGTGTTTGTCTCTGTGTGTTTGTCTCTGTGTCTCTGTGTGTTTGTCTCTGTGTATTTGTCTCTGTGTATGGTTCCGGGCCGTTCAGGGTGTAAAGGTGTAGAGGGTTTGAAGTAGGGCTTCGGGTTGAAGAGGGCATGTCAGGGTGCATTGGAGTCCTGCGTTGCAGGGGAATGCTCACAGTTTTGAAGGGACGGTTGAGGGTTTGGGGCTCCTGCTGCGTAGACATAGAGTTGTTGTTGGTCTCAGGGCCCGCTTGAGGGTGCTTAACTCATGCGGGCTTGACGACAGGCAGACGGTTCTCGGTTCACCAGTGTCAGTTCTTCCAATGTGGTGGGGTCCACGAGCGCCAGAGAATGTTGGGTGGAACGTACCCGAGTCCCTTAGATTGTCTGCTACTTTGCCTTCATCGGCCAATTCTGCAAAGACCGCTTGGATCATCACTCGGGATGCGCTGAAGGTCGTTGTGCCCGAAGCTTACTCGCAGCTGCGGGTGGAGAACACTGGGGCTTCAGCTGAATCGATTCCCAAAACCCTATTTACAGAGTACTGCCTCCACACCTGAAAACTGGTCTTTCCAGGCCCACGGTTTATTGTGTGTTCGGGTGTGTTCGGGACATCTTTGGTGGCGAGGTGTATGCTGGCTACCTCGAGCATACGGACACTCAGGATGGCAAGGTGATCGAGGAGCGGCTTCTTCCAATAATCCTTTAAGGAATTCCACTAATAATAGAATAGCATTTTTTCCTTTCAGTATTAGTAAAGATTTCTATGGAAAGAGATTAATTCTCTATCTATATCTTCTTCAAATTCATTTCGGCTTCTCTTCTTTCTCACATCCAGAAAATGCATTAGAAGCATGTGGATTACTTACTCCTTTACATATAGTACCTGAATGGTATTTCTTATGCCAATATGCTATGTTAAAAGCGGTACCAAATAAAAATGCAGGATTCATTATCTTAATTACTTTTATCTTCGTCATATTTTACTTTATGAGAAGTCTTTCAATGTCATTCCATTTTAGAATTAAGACGTCCAGTAGATTTAATGGTTTTTATCTGTGCTTTTGGTTTCTTTCACTTTTTTCCTCCTCTCATGAACCTCCAAAAATGACAATGATGTTCTTGGGCCTCGGGCTTTGGCCCCCCCCCCCCATACATACGTGGTGAGCCCACCGCTTAGAAACAACCTTGAACCAACCTCGATATAAGAAGCCTACGCTGCTCAGGTACCATCCTCATAATCATATATATACATATATACATACACCTTCGTCGTTTCCGTCGCTACACCACGCCAATCGACGACTCCTGAGCCTGCCTGCCGACCTAGACACGCCTGGTTTTGACTTTTCTCGTCTCGCAAGATCTTGACAAATTACGAACGCGCCTGGCACGCGCCTGGCGCAAAAAAACGACATCGAGCGGCACGAAACTGCTTCTGGGGTTGGGCGAGGTGATATATAAACATATATATATATACACATATACATATACATATATACATATATACGTACATACATATATACATATACATAATGTACATATACATATACATATACATATACATATACATATACATATACATATACATATACATAGACACATGCTGTGAGCAGGTCTAAGCACGCACGTTGCATGTGCAAAGCTGCCAGAACCAGTACTGTAGTTTTCCTTGCATGTGTAGTTTTGCAATTCGTAACAATGCCAATGTTTTGGCTCAAGTACCGAGCTTGTGCCTTTGAGCACGGTAGAGTCGTACAGTAGCTCTTAGGTTGCTGTGCGGTCCGACCGGACGCACTCAGGCGTAGCCGCACAAGTGCTTGAACTCGCGAAGTCGTAAAACAGCGTGACCGGGCTGTGATTGCATTGGCTTAGTGCAAGTCCAGTGCTGGTCGACTTCACAATTGGGGGCTGTTCTGGGAAGTTTACAGCTCTTGTGCCTACGGCCCGAGTGGGCAAGCATTGCTTTGCTTGTCTGTCGCGGTCCGTGACCTGGACGCGTGGACTGTGTGCCACGCTTGCGGCCTGTTAACCAAGGCGCGGCGCTTCGCGTGCCACGCCTGCGGCCTGCTGACCAAGGCGCGGCGTCTCGCCTTGTGTTGCGGCGATGTCCGCAGAGGTTGCAGGTCAGGCTGAGGGCGTCACCCTCCTCGAAGCTATCGAGGGAGGAGACGTTCCCTATCCCGAGCGGATGGGCTACGTCGCTTGGCTTAAGTGGCGTAGGGAGACTGGCAGCCGTCCGTTGTCCAAGCGGGATGGGGTCAGCACTATGCCAGAGCAAGAGGCGGCTCTCTGGCGGAAAGTCATGAAGTTCCTCCATGACGCCGAAGAGGAGGACGAGGATGAAGAGGAAGAAGAAGAGGACTCCGAGCTAGTCCCTGAGGCCTCGGGCGCTGGAGGCGACAGTCCGCCGCGGGTGGACGTCAGCGCCGCGGCTAAGGAGCTGGCCATGGTCCCTACCGGTGCTGCCTATGTCCCTGCTACGGCACCAGGGTCCCGCCCGGCGGGACCGTCCGGTCCGCCGTCGACAGCAGGTTCAGTGCCAGGCGCCGCGGAGGGCTTGCAGGCGGAGCTGCGCGCGATTTTCCGTCCAGACCAAGAACCGGTCGCGGACTACCTGACGCGCGTTTCGCGGATTGTCCTCGCGCTGAAAGCGCATGGAGTCACGGTGAGCTCCCGTGACCTTGACGCCTTAAGCACCAAAGCCACCCTCCTTGCGGATGAGTTCTCCAAGATAGGTGGGGACTGGCATCCTACGAAGATGGTCCGTCGGCTGCGGACCAGGTTCTCGGTCGCGGCTTTGCGCGGTGGCGAGGACCCCGAAGACGCAGAGGAGATTCAGCGAGAAATCCAATGCATCGGGGAGCTTATCCTCGCGTTAGGGGGAAAAGAAAGCTCGAGCCAAGAGAAGGTTTGGAGCTCCCCGTCCGATGTGCCAGTTGAAGCCGTGGGGCCGCGTTCCCCAGGGCTCCCACAGCCTGCGACTGCAAGTGGGTTGGGGGAAGGACTGGACCGTGGAAGTTTGCACGCTGCTGAGGTTGCAGGTGGTCCTTCCGCGGCCCGTGTCCTGGGCGCGACGGACGGCGATTCCCCTTTGCGCGCGAAGCTTGCTGCTCTAGAGATGGAGATAGAAGCCCTGAAGCGAGGTTCAGACGGCGGAGGTTCGCAGACCGGGTCCCAACACCCGGCGGGCGATCTCGCCGCCGCACTCGCCGCCCAAACTGAGGCGCTGAAAGAAGCCTTAGCGCAGAGGGGCGGGCAAAGCTCCATAACTACGGTCAAAACTGACCTCACGTGGCCGACGCTGACCGACGACAAGTCGGACGCGCGAGACGTTGTCCTGTTCTACGAGGAGTTCGAGGACGTCTGCGCGCTGGCCAACAACTGTCGCGGTATGAGTGCGCGCGAAAAGCTGTTAGCGCTACGCGGGCGCTGCCGCGGCTCGCGCATGAAGACGTACACGAACGCGTACCGCGCAGCGTGGAAGTCGGGAGAGGTTCTCTCAGATCCACAGGCGGTGTATGACCGCATCAAGAACAAGCACTTGATGTTCGGGGAATCGCGGGAGGAAAGAGAAGTCCGCGTGGATGGTGAGCACGCCTCCCTCGCTAAGGGCAAGCTCACAGGCCACCAATTCGAGCCTTTGTTTGAGGCCTCGATCGCGGACCTCGAGGCAGTGGGTCTCGGGAAGACCCCTCGAGAGTTGTATCTCTCATACCTCCGCAAGATGCCCCCTTATCTCCAAAAGGAGATCCGGAACGACAAAAGGTTGTGGCCTGGCGACCCCAAGGATGGCGGGTTGCGAGGACCGCAGACTTGGGAAGAGAGCCACAAAGTCGTTCTGGAGTACGAGCAGAGGGAAGCAGCGCACAGGGCTGTTTCCCACTCTGTGTACACTGCCACCGGTTCGCAGCGCGCGGACCCGGCGGTCGCGCTCGCTGAGGCTCAGAAAGAGATTAAGAGTCTCAAGGCCGCTGCGAAGGCTGCTGCGAAAGGAGCAGCTGCCGCGGCCAAGGCTGGCGCGGACCAGACGTATGCTGCTACGTCGAAGGGAGCTGGCAAAGGAGCGGACAAGAAGATCTGCTTCCACTTTCGCGATCATGGGAATTGCCCGAAAGGGGATGCCTGCCCGTACAGCCACGACAAGGAGCTTCGCAGAAAAGCTCTCGCGGCCAAGAAGGGTGACCAAACCTTTGCCACTGCGAAAGGTAAAGGCAAGGGGAAGGGAGGTGGCAAAGCCAAAGCCAGCGCAAAGCCTAAGGCTGCGGCCAAAGGCGCGGCAAAGCCACCAGGCACTGTTTGCCCTTTTTTCTCCAAGAATGGGTCTTGCAAGAAAGGAGCCAGCTGCGACATGGTCCATAACCTGACGACCTCAGGAGGGACGCCGGCCTTGCCTGCCAACTGGGCCCCGCCCTCCGGTGCTTCCATGTCTAACCCCTTCGCCGCGTTCAGTGTCCAGATAGGCAGCTCAGGCGTCCAAGCAGGCGTCTTAGGAGCCGCAGGACACGCCGCGGTGCAGCAGCACGCGCTTCCGTTAAGCAAGGGCGGGCGGGACAAGTTCGCCACCTTGGACGATCTGCCGAAGGACTGGTGGAACCTGGCAGACAACGAGCCAGGAGGCTACCAGTACAGAACGGTGGTCCAGGTCCTCGACCGCAAGGTCGAGTGCATGCTTGACGGTTGCGCCGGCGCAAACCACGTGACGGAGGAGCTCGTGGTAGGCATGATGAACCGGGCCGCAGAGCTTG